AAAATGAAAGCAATCAGTCACTAATTACAGCTTTTAGATTCATTATTTAGACATTTAGCCCGGGGCGCTTTAACATTTCTGTGCACAGTGAGAGATAAGATAAACATTTAATCAGAGCAGACAAGGCCATTCAGGACATTTGCCTCTGCCGCATTTTGAGTCGACTCAAAGGACAGGAGCTTTCGCGAAACGTCGACCGGTTGGATCGAACCGTGATCACGTCTCACTCGCACCCCAGTCGTGATAACTACCCGAGACTGATTGCAATGTTGTGGCACGGCGGTGCAAGAGTTAACTTCACAAAATCTTGGCACAACTGATGCTGAAGTCCATCCATCCATTTTCTATACACCGCTTAATCCTCATTAGGGTCGCGGGGGGGCTGGAGCCTATCCCAGCCGACTTAGGGCGAAGGCAGGGGACACCCTGGACAGATCGCCAGTCCATCGCAGGGCCACACTTAGAGACAGACAACCAAGCACACTCACATTCACACCTACGGACAATTTAGAATCACCAATTAACCTCAACATGTTTTTGGACTGTGTGGGAGGAAGCCGGAGAACCCGGAGAGAACCCACACTGCACGGGGAGAACATGCAAACTCCACGCAGAAAGATTCCGGTGCCCCCACCGGGACGCGAACCGGCAACCTTCTTGCTGCGAGGCAACAGTGCTACCAACTGCGCCACCTTGCAGCCCTGATGCTGAAGTGTCCCCCTTAAAAAAAATAAAATAAAAAAATGCAGCCTGAGCCTGGAGCGAGAGTTTAATCAATGTTTACTCACGGCTGCACCGAATCTGACAACAGTCTTTATTGTCATTAGCAACAGTAATGAGACTGGATATCATCACCAGGTAGGCAAACTGTTGTCATAATAACAGTCAAGTCAAACATCAGCAAGATTGCTTCATAGTTGAATAGGCATTCGCATCGCAGAAATTATACAGGACATAATATTATGATTGTCATTAAAAAGTGCTAAGCCATGTCTTCACTTCATTAAAAAAAAAAAGGAAAGGCGTTATCAGACGTTGACAAACTGCTGGAACCGTTCCTTTGAAAACGTTCCAGCAGAAGGCTTTGGAGTCCATTATAGCAATGAAGCTAAGAGATAATGCTGCACTAAAAGATTTGTTTAACAATTTACATGCAATCTTTATTAAAGCATGCGTGCAATCCTGTCAGCTTTCCTGTTCGCTATCTCGGCCTGCTTTAGCTGTAACACTGGCAGGTTATTCGTCTTCCACGACGGACTTTATCTGCACGGCGCACTTGAATATTTGTCAACTCATCTAAGAATGGCAGGTAAATTTAAAATTCTGGAAGATTGAACATTGTGCACTCTCCATAGGACCGACAACATGCATCTGAAATGTCCTGCAGAAAAAACAGGTCACAGTGTCTGCAAAACAAACTGCAAGCAAAAAAAACTGGCCAGTATCTAGTTTAGTGTTAAATAATAAAAAATAAAAACTTTGCATGTAAGCATACAGCACACAGGGGAAATACAACTTGTGTCTGAAAACTTTCCTCCAGCTCCAAATGACCATAAGTTGTTTCGGTTGATGACAAACAGACCTGCTTCTGATGTTCTAACAAGATTAGGGAATAGTTTCGGATACTAAAAAAAAAACGATTAGTGATAAAAGATTAGAAATAATCAAGCCAGTGTTTTTAATTTATTTTTTTCACCATCTTAACTGAACATTTATAATAACAGGATGCAAAGCCAAAATGTAATCCCTCAGAAAATAGCTGTAATTAGGTTATACTCTATTGAAAAAAAGCAAAAAATGCTCTGTTGTGATTTAATTTCGCAGCTTGTTTACTTACTCCTCAGTTAGAAATGTGTTTTTATCACAGAGTCGTTAAGATTTAAGGAGAACGGACATCATGTTAGTTAACCTGAACAGCATGTTCCAAGAAGACGATTTGTGAGCGACGGAAATGAATCGACAGGTGTAGGAATGCAAGCACCCCATCTCCCTCCCCTCAATCTTTCTCCTTAAAGCTTTACATTCTGCTCACTAAAGAGATTGTCCGATCCATCAGCAGCCCATCTCCCCCTGCTTCTCGTGGACGTTCGGGCCGGACACAATGGCAGTGGGAAATCACATGTCAGATGACTTCATGGTGGATGACTTTAATATCCGCCACAGTAGCCAGCGAGGCTATACGCTGGAATCATTCAATAGCCAATGAAGCCGCAGGCCACTAAACCAATATGGCGTGCTGTAGCAGAATGGATGTGTTCCATGGAAGCCCTGTCGGTCGCAGTGTAATTTAATCCAGCCCTTAGGACAAGCATCTCTCAACAGAAATGGAGGGAGGGGGGGGAAAAAATGTAAGAAATAGTTACTTGAGGGAGTGGATGAATTTTATAACCCTACACTAACCCCCATCTAAGTTTGGAGACTTCCATTTTTTCCCCTCATCTCATTTAGCACCACTGTCGATGCATAAAAGCAAAGGAAAAAAGCTGCTTTAATGGACAAATGGCCAAACACCTGGTTGCTGAGAAGCCCCTGGGAAAGAGGCAGGCTATTTGTTTAGTAGACGAGACGGAGAGACAACATCTATTCACCATGGAGACAACGGCAAACATCAGGGAGGTGCGTTAATGTTGTGTTTCCTTCCCCCTCCACCCAGTCTCTTACTCTGTAACAGCGCAAGGAGAGGGAGCGAAGCCATGTGAAATGAATAAAGCGCAGAAGTTTTTGGCCGGCTGTCAGGTTAACCGCTTCATAAAAAAGGTGCCAATTTAGAAAACAGATCACAAGAGCGTACGTTAGGGCTCGACTCAGCTGCGCCGCCGGCTCTTTCAACGCTGAAGGAAGAGGGGGGAAACACACAAAGACACCGGGGGGTTTGACAGCCACCTCGAGCTGCATTAACACCGCGGGCCAAAGTTTACAGATAAATATAGTAGAAGCAGCAACGTTTAGAAGGAGGTGTTAAATGTCAGAGCTCCACCCCTCCGCTCTCCGTTTGAGCTTTTTCCTTATGCATTGGCCACCAAAGTGCACGGGCGTTTCTCCAACAGCTGACAGAGTAACGTGCGACGCTGTGTGATTCTGCACTAATGCCAAACGTATGAGCACATAGTCATGCTTCTTATTTTGTAATAATCAGCGTATCCCTGTGACAAATGCGTTGCAGCGACTGCCGGCGACTGCTGGCAGCGACTCTCCCGTACAGACTGTGGTGGAATGGACAAACTCAACTCATTTCCACTCTATCACCTTGCTTTGATAAAACCTAATTTCCCAGGGGCTTCAGATGAACCCCCGTTCAGCTGAGCTCCTATGCCGAGAAGCAGACAACTTAACATCTAACGCGAGCTGAATGGAAGCATGACACAACGCGGAGAGGAGGGCTCTCGTTTTTGGAAAGGTGCGGCATTGTGCGGCGGGGGTGAAGTGAGCTATAACTTTCAAACTGCCTCAATTTAGCTCCCCCGTGAATTCCATTGCCATTTTAGGGAAGAGTTTTTCGTGAGTGATGAGAGCGGCGTGAAAAGCTTGGCTGAAAAGCAGAGCGTGGAAGCATCTACTCAGATCGCTGTAATGCCACTCGCAGAGTTCTGTAGTGAAGTTGAGAAAACATGGTGGAGGAATAGTGTGTCTCTCTCTCGCGCTCTGCTGTATTATTAGATGAGCTTCGGGTCAGGAAAGGGTCATCCAGGTTTTGGAATCCATGTCAAGTTAGGTTATTTGGCTTCATATTTTTCTGCGAGTGCTCGCTGCTAATAATGGGGATTGAGGTGTAGTGATATTAATATAGAAGTAAAATAGAAAAAAGGGGGATTGTCTGTCAGTCATGCCACTTTAATGCTGTTTTTCCACTGTCCCATCTGCAGTTGGGGGATAAATTAAATAAAAAACCTTAATAAATATATAAACATTCTTGATGAATGCATATATAATCTTACACATAGCATTCTGGGTCTATTTTTAGCAACTTTGCATTGTTATTGACTAATTGCAGTTAATAATTTAATCCACTGAAAACATGTTTCCTGTTCAGAAAATGTCTGTGAAGATTCTCAGTCATCCAGGTCGTGGTTATTCTGGTGGATTCATCGTAGCAACTGGACTTCCTTGAGTTCCTTGAAGACGTTTCACCCATAGACTGTATAAAAGATGGACGTAGCTACCGTGTTGGTTTCTGCACTGAGAAAATGAAGCCAGGGTTTTGCTACTTCCTGGTTGACATCTTGGATCTTTGGAGCCAAAAATCGTCGGAGGGGGGCGGAGCCATAGGAGCAGCGATTGGTCAGATGGATTGAGAGGCGGGCCCTCTCTGCCCCGCCCACATTCACCGCCTTCTGCTCGCTTCGTCTGTATTGTCGCTGCCGACTGTCAATCAAGCCAGCCACGCCCCTTGCCCCGCAAAATGTTAAAAATTCAGTATTGATTTATTTTCAGATTGGCCACCTGATCTCTGGATTTGACCATGAAAACTAATAAGAAAAAAATCCTGAGCTGTAGGAATGCAGTATTTCATGATCTGTGATGACTTCTTTTCCAATTCAAGTCTATGGGAGCCAGGGCTTTTTGGAGCCAGTGGACGTAGTGATATTGCAGGTTTTTGACACTTCCGGATTGGCTTCATTTTTCAGGGCCGGTTGCTACGTCCATCTTTTATACAGTCTTTGGTTTCACCCAAGAGGCTCCATCAGTTCTGACCAACCAGTTGGGAGTTCCAGATATCCTGAAGGAGCCATTAACACCTGAGTTTCAATTGCGGGGTTGTTGCTCCTCCCACTTGTTATATGGGTCGTTACTGCCACAAAGGGGTTCGTTAGGGTCAGAAAATGTATCGTAGTGTCTGGTTGCACCAACAGGTGGAGCCTGCTACTGTTTCCTGAGGTGGACTTACAGGTGTGTTTACAATTTAACATTTGGCAGCTCAAAATCTTGTGTTTTCCTTTAATCTCTCAACCATCCATATATATATTCCACATACAATTCATGTAGTCATGACAGGTACTCACAGATGTAGTAATACTCTCTGCCCGGTCTGAACTCAAAGCCCAAGGAGAACGGAGTGAAGAGCTGGAACTTCTCTGAGAACTTGAGCGGTCCGTTCGGCGAGTGCGGCCTGTTGCACTCCCAGCGCTTAAAGCCCTTGGCGGTGTGGTCGCATGTGCTGTAGCCGTCGTAGTTGACCATGTAGAGGACGTAGCGCTCTGTCCGCTCCTCAGGCACTGTGTCTTCATAGTGAGGACAGTAGACATCCAGGTAGTCGTTTATGCACACGTCGATGTGGTAGTCCCCACGGTGGAACCTGGCGGGAAGAGACAGGAAGAGGTTAACTTTTTATTTTTGTATTTGTATAAAGCACAGACCTCCTGATTGTCAGCGATTTGCACGCACTTCAAACATTAGGTAGACGAACTCAATCATGGTGATACGGCCGTTTGTTTACACCCCAACAGAGCCTCGGTTGTCATGGTTAAAAGTTCGTTTGAATGCAGCACGCACAGGAAGAGCGCCGGTTATATCTCTCACCAATCTTCCAGCATCATGCGGAAATTTACAAGCACCGACACTCTCATCCTTTGGCTTCAATAAATTTGGATGGCTCGGTTTATCTATAAATCTGTCTCTGAAACAGATATTTACTCAGACGTACACACTTCCAAACTGAAGTATCCAACTCTGAGAAAATATGCTTACATTTTTTTTGTAGATCTCTCAAGGAAAAAAAAAAAAAAAAGCATTTACTTGAGGATTTTTCCACTGTAAAAAAAAAAAGTGCAAAGTAGAAATGGTCACAGGGATGCAGGATGGCGGGGATGGTCCAGACAGTAAATGTCATGATTGGAAAAATACAGGGCCTGGCTGTCTCTGAGGGCTGTGCAGTGAGGCATCTTTACAGCAGCAATGATCTAGAACGGGCCGCACAGGGTCAGAGGGCTTCAATACATACAGGGAGATTCATCAAAAGGCCACACACTGTCACAAGCTACCATCTACACACACACACGACCACAATCTCTTCTCTGCTGCCCAGAAAATAGGCTTCTCGGCTGTGGAATTTTTCACAGCTACCAAAAATTAGAAGAAGCCTTTATTTGTCAGAAACACATTCTCTTTTTTCGCAGTTCGGAGTTAGAGTGCAGGTTAGGGTTGGGGATCTTGGTTGACAGCGGCGGCTTGACAGCAACCCAGAGCCTCGGCCATCGAGCTGCCCGGCGAGCAATTCCTGTTCTGGCTGATTTAAGGTGGCATGATGCTCGAGTTGGGGTCACAGTCGGGTGGGGGGGGGCTTCACGGAGACAAACCTGCAAACTTGTTAGGGATTCCACCAATCAAGCACTGAAGCACTGAGTGACGGCGCAAAGTCGCCAAGTCCACACGCGGCACAGCTGATGCCGCCGACTTATTGCACCCAGAAGCCAGGTGGTGTGCGCCTATAATTGAGACCCAGTCTTAAATGTTGTAAGAGCACAACCTTACAAGAGTTTCGACAAAACTTTTAATTGAAAACCGCCACCGCTGTCTATAAGAAGGGCTCCTCGAGTCCCAGGACGCACAAAGGGGGCAGAGCGTATGACAGGCAAAAAATAATTTTATCCTAAGGACTCTGGAGCCTGAGGATTAACATACTGAAGCGGCACGGTGACCTCTTTCTCTCTCTTGCCGCGCAATCATCTCTGTTGCACTCGTGTTTAAAAAAAAAAATAAAATAAAAAATGTCCGTTAAGTCATTTCTAAAGAAGCAGCAATTCACGGCTAATTTGAATAGTGGGTAGAGGTTATAAAGAACAAGGACACAGTAGGAATAAAATACTAGTGGAGAAAAAAAACACAATTTTAACTAAAACATCTTCAGATGCTGATGAAAATATATGTTGCACAGTGGTATAAATATCTCTCTCCCTCTTTTTTTTTTTTCCCCCTTTCCACCCACTTATTTGCTTTCTCAATTCAGAACTGCGGCTCTGTTGTTGCTTCAGCGTGGTGTCGGGAGTTCTGACTAAGGAATTGATCTTCTACAATCAAATCGCTGCATATGCACTGAAAACCATTATCCTGCTTGACTTCCTTCAGTCTGCACTTCATGTAGACAAACTACACGGAATTACAATCGCAAACCGGGCCACTCGTTTTGTAGATCAAATAGCAATTTGAGCAGAATCTGGTTGTGATGCCTTCACTTGTCACTTAATTCATGTTGGTATAATGGAATGATTAATGCAACAATCAAGCGACAAATTGAACCGAGCCATTTTTCATTACTGTGATCATGTGTCTCCACTGGCTCTGCCCTGTATATTTATATGGATGTGTGTATATGTGAGCATGAGCTAGCATGAAATGTTGTTGTGTTTTTTTTCTCCCTGTGTTTACCCATGTAGGGTAAATACCAATGTGAGGGTGTTTACAACCAAGGCATGGAGTAGCTCATCTGTAACATTTCATTTAAAACATGTCTCTGGAGGTCCAGGAAGAGCCATGCATCTCTCTCACTGCTTTAAAATGTCACTGACTTAATGGTCACATCCTCCCATCCGCTCGTCCCGGCTTCTGTCTATGTGTACTCTGTGTGTGTGTGTGTGCGAGAGAGAGAGAAGAAGAATTAGAGTGTGTATGCGTGTGCATGTCCGTGCGAGTGTGTGTGTGTGTGTGTGTGATGTTTCAGCTGCCCTTCTCTCAGTGCCTCAGCAGTCAGAATAGTGGCTCGTGGCCCTGACTGCAAATGAAGCAGAGGATGTTTGGGTGAGTGAGCACATAAAAAGGGACAGGACAGGCATTTGTAACATGTAACGCACTCACACACACACACACACACACACACACACACACACACACACACACACATATATATATACGGGCAGCAAACACACATGCAGCACACACCTCCACGCGCACACGCGCTCGTTAGACACACACATACATTAGGTTTGTGTTATCAGTTGAGTGAGCTCCCTGGCACATTGGCAAAGGAACAGCAGTGAGACAGCCAGAAGCTGCTAATGGCACCGAGTGAGAAAGAGAGTGAGGGTGAGAAACAGACAGGGAGGGAGAGAGAGAGAGAGAAAGGACCTGCTTCCAAAAGAGGGTGAGGGAATACAAAAAAAAAAAAGAGACAGCAAGACTGAATACTGCAGATAGCATTGCCAGGCGCTTCGTGAATCTTTGCAGGAGTTATTCAACCATGCATTCATCATTAAAGCAGATTCTGCTAAAACTGTATATGTGCATGACATGAGTGTGTGCATTTTCTCCAAGTCTATTCAGTGAAGGATTGTCATCGAGATGTGTCCCGGGAAACTTCTCGTATTTTGCAGAAAGCCGTGTTTATTGTCCTTATAAAAACCCTGTTATCATGGGACTAATGTGAGTTTTAGATGCGGCTGGTGTCTTGTTTATAGCGATGGCAGCTTTAATCGGCTGTTGCTGTATAAACAGTCCCCACTTCTTCAGCAGAAAGAGGAAACAGTTCTTTACCGCAAAACGGACCTGTGTTACATACACACCCACCCCCCCTCTGTGTGTGTTGGTTACACAAGCACCGAGATGTTGCACCAATGTAATGTAAATCAAGGCTGCGCCGTGTGCTCTGTTAGAATTCACAAGAGTGAAATATGGGTAGTGTAGTAGCGCTGGGTTCAATAGAAAAAGAATAACTGCAAAGGCACTGCAGGATCAGCCAATCTCGAGGGCACAAAAGAAAATGTAAATTAAAGCTGCATCAAAATTGGCTGTTCTGTGCATTTGTATGAGGAGCCAGAATAATGGGTTTCCGCAGCCTTTCATGCTAATCATTCAACGCATTGATCAGTGTTGCACAGCAGCATGTAAAATAAGGCACGGAAAATAATTAAAGAAGCCGATTAAACATTAGATTTCCTTATATTGTCTTTAAATGGTCAATGCTCAGCTTTTAGAGGTGACACCTTCCACCTGTTGCTGTGTACAAAAGAAGGTTGCAGATGCATAACAGCTAGCCAATCAGATGTGTTATTGATGCACCATTGGCTGGGTTGAATCTTTAGCAACACATCGCTTATGACTTTAAATTAAAGTAAAGTAAAATATAAGCAGGAGATGGCAAACACGTGGAACAAATACCAATTTAATGAATCAACACATACAACCAGGGCACCACATTCCATACAGGAAGATGTGAATTTCTATCATACTGGGAACCAGTGCCGATACAAACTGTCCAGATGGAGCTGGCTCGCTAAGTTGCCCTCTCACTCCTACTCCGATGCCACACACACATGCACACACAATCAACCCAACCACCACAATCGCTTCCCTGTATTTTACAACATACTTCTGGGCGACGCCACGAGCGACAATCTTTCCCCATTCTTGCGAGAAACCGTGGCGGCGCGGGATGGCGGCGGATGCCTTCTAGGAGTAAAATAGGTAATTAAGGAGCAAACTTGGATTGCAGGCTAATTGTCAAATGGCGATAATTGCACGTCTTTGTTATGCCACAGCTGTCCCAGTGAGCTCCGGGTCGCAGCACAAAGCCAGAGAAATCAGATGGACACAGAGCGTGGGTGCATGTTAGTCAGTAACTGAGAGAGAGAGAGAGAGGAGGGGGGAGATCATCTTTATTACCAACTGATTACATTTTCACTCCGCCTCCTCAGGGTTAAAAACTGAGGGCCAAGTATTGTCGGCACACACACACATAGAGACACTTGCACATGCAAACACAGAGTCACAAACAGAAGAGAGTGAGTTTGGGAGAGCTGGAACAGTGAAGTGAATGCAGGGTAAGGTGGCACACCACTGCAGTTGCTGATTGGCTCATTTCCATTTCAATTACACAGCCCAGTGACATTGCTGTGCATACACCCGGGCACGCACACACACTCGCAGAGAGACAAACATACACACAACTACATGTACAGGCACGCACACACACACACTGTACCCTACACACTCCCATCAGCCACTTCTCGGAGCTGTGCATCGGTGGCTGCAGACAGAAAGCAAGGAGGACAGGGAGAGATAGATAACCTGAGTGAAAGAGAAAGACAGAGGAGCAGAGCAAGAGCTCAGTAGCAGGCAGAGCCAGAGAGCAATCCAAGTCATCTAACCAGCTGAATAAGTGAGATTCAATAGAAAGAGGAACTTTTCAATCCGCTGCCGTAGCACAGCACTACTCTAAATACCACTGCTCAGAGGTGTGACCCCAGAGAACAGGCTGAGACTGATTACTAACACAGGATATCAGTGGATTAAAAAGGTTTGGTGTTAAATATTTTTTTTTTACTCTTTTGTGTGGGAGGAGATGCTGACAAAAAAAATCTTCAACGCTTGTCTCGTGTCTCCTATGTTGTTTTTTTAAGGGGAACACAGTATGAAGCGATACCGTGCAACCCACCGACTTTAACCTTAGGGCATCTCTGTATAAAACATCACACTTTGTCAGAGAGATTGTCACTGCACAAGTGTAACGACAACAGTTTGACTTTCAGGGTGGACCGCTGATGAATGCGCGGTGACAAAACGCTGTGAACTTTTTTTTATGTTAAAACTGCCTGAAACAATCCAG